TTAGTTATATATATATTAGGCCTAAGATTAAGATTTTATAAGGGTATCTCTACGGTAAAATATAGTACAGTACATTGTTTATTTCTGACTGATTTATGTTAGGCTTACCTATACGTACCAAAACATTTGTGCCCTGTCGTCGTTGAATAAGATTAATGGCGGTGTCCCATCTCCAAGGCGATATTCGGCCAAGATTGACAGTAACTTGGGTTTGCCTTATGCTATTAATTTGGCTTTAGTTTGTTTTACAAGGGTGATGCTATGCTATAGAACGATTTCTCTTTAGAATGTTTAGATAATAATTACGTAATTTAAAATTAATGGCAAGAGAGAAATCACAGGACCACACGTGTCTACCCTAATGAGCAATAATTACGGCCCTGAATTACCCCATTCAGTCGTCATTGTATCATTTGTTACCTCTGTTGATGGTTTGTGTTGCACGGTGATAGCTTCCTTGGATTGTTGAATGATAGAACACTTTGTGACCATTTCAACGTAGTAATTACCCCATGATTGCACATTGTAAATGTACAGACAAATCTGATTCGACGTAGTTGTCGTTGATATCTAGCTGCTGTTCTTAATCTTTCCCACATAATGTGAGGTCTGCTTCATACCACGGAGACATAACAATATCGGCCTACTATACAAGAAAAACTTTTATATTCAGCCTATTTGTTTAATAAGTGCCATAAATATCATTCTTAATTGAGGGAATGCTCTGTGTCACATTTCTTCTCTAGCGAAGTTAAATAATTATCTGCCTTGGCAAGAAATTCGCCAAAATTTAGTGGCAAATCGTGTCCCAGCATTTCCCCGAGCCGAAAGATAAGTTAGTTAATGCGACCCGGAGAGGGCGTTTTCACTATAGGCACGTCACGTACAAACTGTGCATACTTTATATATTTTTAGACAAATAATTAACCAATAAGTTGATGTTAACTTAATTTATTGGAGCATATTTCAAAGAGATAATGCCTACACTTTTTAGATAGATCGTGCTACTGTCAGGCATAGCCTGAATAGGCCCACCTGTAATATCGCCTAGTCACTGATATGATATCTGGGCGTTTATTAACTCACAGGTATGCCTACTATTGCTTAAATGAAGAATAAAGTATGATTTTATTGACCTCAGCGCGAGATAAATTTAACACGTAAATTTCGCACTATGCACGATTCATTTATGCTCTGGTTATAGAGACACGCAGATAAAGCGAAATTTCCCGAGGACACGGATACAAGCACTGTAGGCCTTTCAATGCAACACATCATTATTATAGTTACAGTATTGATTTTGATAATATTGGTATTGTAAACGTTATTGTTCTTGTTTATTTGGTCATACAGTAGTAATAGGGAAGGGGAGGGATGGACTTAACGCAACCCCATACTTTTCTAGATTTGTAAGCATGTAACCAGTAGTCGCACACAGGGCTGGACTATAACTTAAAGGGGATTAGGCCTTATTGTTCTAATAAGGAGAAGTTGACAGATAACAGCCTATTAGTGACAAAGAATGTTGCAAAACCCATGACTACGTTCCCGTACGTTTACTACTATATGATTCATAGGTCTTTCTCCATCAGCACCAGCATTGTCTTTGCAATAATTATCTTCAAATCTAACATATTATCTAAAAACCTCTTAAAATATAAACTGTCAACCTACACTTTTCTAGATGATGTGTCGTAATCTAGTACGTAAGACCGCATATATAAACTGTTTTTTAGGGGTTTTTTTTTTTTATAAGGACCAGTAATATTTTCCCAGGCTCAGTGTTTTTATTTTTTGGTCTATTCAGGTTCAAAATGTTCTTATTTTGTTCTTATTTTTACACTCTTTTCAAACATAGAACATTATTATTGTACAGTACCGTAGCATATTACTGTATGGCATTATTATAGAGGGCATTCACCTACTGCACGTAAGGTACATTACCGTATAAGACTTGTTGGATTTTCTATTCTTTTAAAAATAAAAACCTCCTTTGAAATTTTACCTTAGCCTTAGTTTGTTCTTATTTTGTTTTTAATTTTTATGCAATTTCAGCCTCAGTGTTCTTATCAAATGTGTTCTTATAAAAAAAAATGTAGCTGCAGGACTAATCAAAAGATAAAAGCCCATGAGTAACAAAGAATGTCTTGCAAAACCCATGCGTTCCTGTATATATAATAGCTTTAGTCCTGTCTCTTATACACATCTAGATGCTAAATTTGATGTACTATTTCTTGCTCTTGCTCTAATTTTAATGTTACAATATGCATCTTATAAGTGTCTGTTACCGTATCGTACTGTATTTATATGTATATTTTACTTGTAATATTGGACAAAACGTTATCTTATCGTATCTTATAAATAATTTTATAGGCCTTTTAACCTAAACCTTTGGTAGGTCTCCATTGGGATAAGTGCTCATTGCATGCGATTTAAAATTGAATTAAATTCAGATCTCTTGTTAAGTATGGAATTATCAATATTTCTAAATATGAACCTAATATGATTCGAAGTTATGGTGCCACAGTAGGGGACTGTGCGGTAATTTTACCCAGGAATAAGGTGTCACCTTGTGTCATCGATGAATTCAATTAAATATTTTCCACCTTGAATACACTCATCTTCAGTCAATTTATCTCATCAATTCTTTCCATTGCACTCTATTTTTTTACAATTAATAATAATGGCTATCAATTTGTTTACTATCATAGACAAAAAAAAAGTTCTTCACGTACTCGGTAAACTACGAAAGGTTAGTAGACGCACTCTACTCACACGCTAACTTCTCAGTTTCATTAGTACTGTCATTAATAATTGGTCTACGACAATCCCTAAATTATGGTGCTTGTATACTCAAACAACGTGTCATTGCGGATAAATCACAGCACAAACATACACAACGAGGAACCATATGAACTTGCTCAACGCTTTAAAGGGAACTCTCCGAACGTAACGATCATTGTATTCTCAACTTTCTGCTATGCCTTATACCGGCTTAATATCAAAACGGGTTTTGTTTTAAGTAACTGTTTACTCTAGTACTACTTGAAAATAGTATATTTTATTGACCTTTTATGACTGACAAAAAGAAATAATCTTTAAATTAAAGATATTCCTAATGAAAGCAATCTCAGTATATTGGAAAACATTTAGGCCATATTATTGATTTTTTTTTGCATTCATTCAGTGTGTGAATTTCTCGTTTCCTAATATTCCTTTAATAATAATAATAATAGTGCTGACCAGCGACGAAATTGAAGAGGAAGCTCCTAAAGAACAAAATGTGAGAGACAAAAGAAAAAAAATAAATTTAATAAGAGTATTCGGACCTGCCCTATGTCGTGGTTCGGTCGATGTTGTGGACCTCTATTTTGTAAACGTCCCTTCCTGTGCCTCATCCACAACTGGGTAGGCTACTACGACCTTCGACACCCCTCCCCCAATTAAGCAGATACGGGCTGCTAGTACTACGACGTTCGACACTTCCGATTAAGTCATAATAAGTGTTGCTACTATTAACTAGCTACGACCATACCCCGTTTATTTATTGTCGTGTTTATATCAGTCTGATGTAACTAGCTTGCGTGCGACTGGTCTTAAAATGTTTATTCTTCGTTGGCGGAAAGTTTTGCTGCCCCTCTAACTGCGGTGTTTTTTAATTCCCCCGTGGTCGATTTACGATCTAGAATGTCGTGGTTTACTGACCAAGGTGTAAGAGTTCAGAAGGTGAAGCCAATGAATGTCCTAACTCGCATAAATCTCGACGGAACATCGTACGTTTAAAGTCGGCATTTTACAAACAAAACACGAAACGATTAAACATGACTGTGGAAGGATAGTAAAAAATGTATTGATTAAGATTGAATTTTAACGAGTGTAATATAAATATTTCTCTTTTGTCTCTGTAAAAGCTATTAGGCAAGCGATATATATATAAACTTGTAAAGGCTTCTCTGTCCGATATATCAAATAATTCACCAGATAAAACACCATTCATGTGTTTAAATTAACTATTTTGTTTTGGATCAATTATTTTTGTAGGTGCGAAACGGCTACGGTGGCTTTGAAGTGTTTCTGACGAATGATGACGGCATGGTACGTAGATGCAACTGGGTCCGGTTCTTGCAGTCAACTTCAAGGCGACAGGATGCAAATATTATTGGATCCAAAGTCAAAGGTAAAATCGTTTTACAATCAACGAATACGTGCGCGCAATTATCACTAGGCCTACACGTCATATTTAATAGACGATGAGAATGATTATACCTCCATAGATATTGTACCTTTTACGGTACCCAGGTGGTCTAACCTTATTGAATTTTCGGGAGTGTCAATCAAATTTAACAACTGACCAATCAGAACATTACGCGCTTGTCCCGCAAACACGTGTCACACAACCCACGTGTGTACATACGTTTACGCCGTCAGTGGATAGTCCGAACGCACGTTTTTGGCAAACATGTGGGGTACCTTAGCAACAATTGGTATCCATTCGCGTTTGATGGTTTTTGGTGATATTTCTCTATTACTCGAAGCTTTCTCTGGAATTACTAGTACAGTGTACTTCTAGTCGAGGTTCGAATAACTAGGTCATAAAACTCACTTCTATATCACACCCAATGCTAAAGGTATACTGACCTACATATATTATATAGGCCTATGTCTTGTGATTTACTCTTGATAATTGTTGATTATTGTTACATTTTGTGATTTTGTAGGAAAACCAGTGTTTCGAGTTTCGAAGACAATAACCCCTTGTAGTGAGTTAATCGCCTTCTTCGAATCCACTGACTTTAGTATTGAAAGTTTATTAAGACCGGATAAACCCACAGATCAGCTGTATATATCTACAGGTAAACCATATATTGTTATCACGATCCTGTGCTTTTCGGATTTCGTGGTTGTCAATTATCAACCCTAGGAAATACAGTGATATATTAAGTCGTAATACCATAGTACCTCCTTGATAATATTAACATACATACCATAAAAATACTGAAATTCAATGAGATATTGGATAATAGCTTAAAGGTCTTTAAGCCAGGCTACGAAGGAGTGACATTTTTTTTAAATTTTGTACAGTTGTACAACCGATTTTTTTTTTTTTTTTTTTTTTTTTTTTTTTTTTTTTTTTTTCATATTTGAAGAAAGTCGGGAACGGTTAATGAGATACAGATTTTTGAATATTTAAACATTGGGGGAAAAGGTGGGAAAAAAGAGTTGTTACGCCCCTTTCCCCCCAGATTTAAATATTCAAAAATCTGTATCTCATTGACCGTTTCCGAGTTTTTCTTCAACCGTGCTTTGTGTGTCTTAGAAAAATCGATGTACAACATATAAAAAAAATTTCCTCCGCCAATCCTGACTTTAAGGTTAAGTTTATATCTGTGATAAGGCTATTATTACTGAGGCTTACTTAAACCATGGAGGAAATATATTATTTCCTCCATGCTTAAACGTGGAACTTTAAGGGAACAAATAATAACAAAAGAATAGAACGAATCACGATTATACTATAAACGTATTGAGTTACTATTTTTAATATCAACTAAAATAGAATACCATACTATATAGAACTATACTGATCTATAAAATATGTGGATTAGGTAGATAAAGAAACATACCGGAGGACGGGTATGTATAATAGAAGATTAATTTTATTATGCCTAATTGTAATTATGGTTGTGATTTTACTCGACAGAGCCAAGCGTGCCATATTTTCCCAGCTCGTGTATGTTTGCCAATAACTTGTGTTCAGACTTTCCGCCAACAAAACCAAAGAAACCCAGCAAGAAGCCGATGCTACCTTGTCATGTTTGCAGCAAAACATTCGATCGGCCGTCACTCTTGAGGCGACACATGCGAACTCATACAGGTAACTTACTACTGGCTAGGCTTGAACGTAAACATCAGGCAGCATTAAGACCTACTCTTGTTTTTGAAAGATTTTTTATTTCAGATCCTCCTGTCATCTTCATAAATTGTTATTTTTATTTTCATTGCATCATCATTATCAATTTTCAATATTATGTGCGGTTGATCTTTTAACTTTAGGTTCATAGTTCGTTCCCCCAGGGGACAATTTCACTGTTCCCTGGTTCCCCCACTCCAAACAATTATCCTCAAAGTCGTCGTCATCATCGTCATCATTATCATCATCAACATCATCATCATCATCATCATCATCATCATCATCATCCTGGCTTTATATCATCGTAACCAGGACTTTTATTACTGTTCATGAATAGCTTGTAAGCATTTTTCTATTATGATTAAAAACGTCATGCTGACTAAAATGGGTCAATCACTAATACCAGACAGTTGATGGATGAGAAGGAACTTATTAATTTACCCTTTAGAAATCTAAAATCGTTTTGAATAAATTACATTTTAGAGAAAAAAAATAGTAGCTGTCTCTTATCCACATCTAGATGTGTATAAGAGACAGGTTCCCTGGTTCCCCCACTCCAAACAATTATCCTCAAAGTCGTCGTCATCATCGTCATCATTATCATCATCAACATCATCATCATCATCATCATCATCATCATCATCATCATCACCACCATTATCATCATGATAATCCTCATCATCATTATTACTATTTAAAGTTATTGATTTTTTAATTGATATTGTTGTTATAATAATAATAATAATAATAATAATAATAATAATAATTATTATTATTATTATTATTATTATTATTATTATTATTATTATTATTATTATTGTTATCAGTATTAGGATATCGTTACCACATATTCATTGACATCATCATGGCCATTATGGCATCCGTAATACTAATATTAATCATCATATCAATTAATCATCACAATATATTCCTCGTTTTCAACCCAACACTGAGTGAGGGTGAATTTTACTACTGTAGTATATTTTTAATATATTAATGTATATTTTTTCTAATTATGCCTATACAAGCATTTGTTAAGAATTGTTAATGCTATGCTAACAATATCAGCTTTTATTACAGTTTTAAATAATCCTAAATTACACTAATAATATTTATGTTTAATAATATTTTGCTTACCTCTCCAGGTGAAAAACCACACGTGTGTGATGTTTGTTTCAAAGCATTCAGTACATCGAGTTCGCTGAACACTCATCGTCGAATTCATTCCGGTGAGAAACCACATGTTTGTAACGTTTGCAACAAGCGATTTACCGCAAGTTCCAACCTCTACTACCATAAAATGACGCACAGAAAGGTAAGCAATATATGTTGTTGGGGTTTATTTTAAAACCGGGCACTTACTATGCCCGACGGTCGTCGGCCGACTCGATTTTATGGAGAACGCCACACACGGGCACGCAATTGATTGTTTTTATTGATGATATGTTCAGATTGCCATCGACGATCAGTAGTCGGCGTCGCGCGACAGGGAGCCACTAGTGGCGGAATCAAGGGGTGGGGGTGGGGAACCATCCGGCTACCCTCCCCCCATTCCCCTAAATTGTTCAAAATTTTAAAGGAATTTAGAAATAAAGAAAATTCTACTCAAATTTTGAGTCTAAGAGTGCCATTTCCGGCCTCTAGAGGTGCCATAATCATGAATTTTCTTCCCTCAGCCCAACCATGGTAGGGCTGAGGTAGAACAGACCCTCCATCTGTGAACGTCCCTCTCTGGGCCCCCTTTATTTCAAATTCCTGGATCCGCCACTGGGAGCAGAGTTTGATTCGTCGTGCGACCATCGTACGAGTTCGGAGCATTGAGTACTCGGCTTAACAAACACTTTGCCCATGAATATACTTCTTTTGATTTATTTCATTCTATATTGGGACTTGTGAGACGATGATGAGACCAAATACTATATTTTGTTCTAAAACAACAAAAAAAACAAAAAATAAATAAACAAAAAAAAAAACAAGATTGTATTAATTCTATGCCAAGGCCATAATGGAAATACCATCAACAGAATATAGTTTTAATATTGACATTGCTCTTATATAAAAGATGAAGTAAAACTTTGCAAACCGCTCGCCCAATTGTTTACCAAAGATCTTATAATTTAGAGAGGGCGCACTCCATTTGTAGGCAAATTTCTGTTACAGAAGCTTATACACTTTATATAATTCAATATGATATCAATCAATATTATCAATGTAATTTATGTTCAATCTTACAGGAAAAACCTCACAAATGCACCATGTGCTCGAAGTCTTTTCCTACCCCAGGAGACCTGAAGAGCCACATGTACGTACACAATGGATTCTGGCCTTACAAGTGTCGCTTGTGTGAACGGGGATTCAGCAAGTACACCAACCTTAAAAACCACATGATGTTACATACTGGTGCGTGTGAATGCATGCTTCCGTTAACTCTTTCGATTTATATAATAGAAATAATAGGCCTATTATTAATATTAATGAAGATGACGATAATGATGATGATGATGATGAATGACACTAATGATGATGATGATGATTATGATGATGATGATGATGATAATGATGATGATAAAGCTCAGTTTCCATAGGATCGCTCACCCTATCGGCGACAGTTGCCGGGAAGGTTGAACCTTGTTCAACTTTGCCGATTGCGTTGCAGACGAATCAGGGTTCCGTTAACTCTTTCGATTTATATAATAGAAATAATAGGCCTATTATTAATATTAATGAAGATGATGATAATGATGATGATGATGATGAATGACACTAATGATGATGATGATGATTATGATGATGATGATGATGATGATGATGATGATGATGATGATGATGATGATGATGATGATGATGATGATGATGATGATAATGATGATGATGATGATAATGATGATGATAAAGCTCAGTTTCCATAGGATCGCTCACCCTATCGGCGACAGTTGCCGGGAAGGTTGAACCTTGTTCAACTTTGCCGATTGCGTTGCAGACGAATCAGGGTGCATTGCTAGCTGCCCTGACACAGTCAGCAAGGCACCCCGATTCGTCCGCAACGCAATCGGCAAACGCCGATAACGACGATGATGATGATGATGGTGATTGATCACGACGACGATAGAAGTTACAGTCAGTACAAGAAGGAATTACTGTAATACCGAAGCAAAGCCCTAATATAAAAAGGGTATACAGAAACAAGCATAATTATGCTTTTACATTTGTACCCCTAAATAAAATATATACAAAAATGAACACAACAAGCCACGCAACAAACGCAATCAAACACACCAACCTACAACACACAAAAGTGCATCAACATTTAAATGTATTATGTAAAAGAACAGAATGGTAGATGGTGGTGAATAATATAAATATAGTAGATTATTTTAATACATTATAAATAGATGACAACTATAGACAAAATTTAAAGTTTTACTCAGTACTCTTCTATACACATTTATAGAGCGGTGAGTTCTATTTTATGAAGATCGTCGTAGTGATTATTTACACGCACAAATTAAGCCATAACAAACATCTATAAAATGGTTGTAAACTCGTATTTAAATCTTTATTGTTTATTTTTTCAGGTGAGCGACCACATCCTTGTCATCTTTGTAAAAAGAGGTTTGCTTTGGCGTGCAATCTACGAAGTCATCTGAAGACGCATCAAGGTGCGTTTTTATGCAACAATATAGGACGCTAAAGTGTCCGTTTTCATGTACATTTTTAGAAGCTTTTTGCTTTTTTTAATCTGAAACAACTGAAATAATCTTGTGTCGTGCCCGACTGGACCAACCAAATGTTGGACAGTAGTAAACCATTATTGAATATTATACTATTGTTATTATTATTATGCTTGTGATTATTTGCCTATTGTTATGTCTACCGTATTATTTTTTTATTATTTTTGTTATTTTTTTATATATATATATATATTTGTCGAGACCTAGATGGTTGCATGGCCGAGCTGTTAAGGCAGGTGCGCCGCAACCTACATTTATAAATAATATTTATATATTATTATATTAATAATTTATTTAATGTAACCTAATGGTTCTGGTGGTAGAAGTCTCGGATAAGGACTATAAACCGTAGGCCCAGTGTACATAATTTGGCTTGTGTTCTCTTAAAAGTACCGATTACATCTTTCGTGTTGAGAAGGGGGGTACCCCAGTGTACTGGTCCATACAGCTCCTGTTGTGGACAGACGAGAGCAGCTGGCACCTGTTTAGCTCAGACATAAAGATACCATTAGGGGAGAAGCAAGTTACAGTAGGCCTACAAGCTAGTCCAAACCTTGACACGCTTTGAGACTTTTGTATAAAGTGCTTTATAAATCGAACTACATTACATTAAATATATTTAAAGAAATAAATCGAATTCCTTACTCAAATACCGTAAAAGTAATGTTTTCTCTATTGCTGTCGAGCTCCCTGATAAACAAAATCTTTTCAATCAGTCACTTCAGTTTGTTAGACTACTTTTTAGCAAATTTTTCAATATTTCTTCGTTTTCCTTTTGTTTATGTAGGCAACTCTCAGTCATGAAGACGGACTATTTAGAAGACGGACTTCAACAAAACATATCAGAATAACTTCATAGACCATGAACTGCCATCTATCGACATACCTGTACAGACGGTTATACCATACTCATATTATCGACGTGTAAACGAACGTATTGAGCCGCCATCTCTAATAACAAGCTCCCGACCAAGCTATATTTACAAAATTAATATGTGATCTTCAGTATTGCCATTATATATCATCCATAAATAGTATACCCATAAATATTTTGGAGCACACGAATAGAATATTTGCCTTTCTAATTCAGTTTTTTATTGAGGAATCGGTAATATATGATGGTAGGCCTAGTGGTTACATATTTATGCTTACGCAAGACTTGCAATTTCTATTAATTTATTTGGATTTTAACTATGCAACTTGAACGTAGCATTTCGCACACAGACACACACTGTTATTTATAGGTCTTGTTGTCTTTCAGGTATCAGAATCGTCATTCATGTTTTAGTAAAATTCTATACGTTTTTATTTTTTATATTTAAATCGTTATTAACTTTTCTTTCCGTATGCCTTCCTTATCTTTTTCATATCTACATATTTGTTAGTATGGTTTCATGGATTTAGACCTTTAGACCAGATTATAGTTATGATGTTTATCTTTTATTTTGCATCTGTATACTGTATATAAGATTGTGGTTGTGAATATTTTAATTCTTTAATCATTTATTGACGGTTTTTTTTTTATCTCTATAGATGTATGTCCTCTCTTTTTTTAAATTTTTTGAAAAGATATATTAAATTATAACACATAGACTTATATTTTTTATGATTGTCTATTTTATATCGTGAAGTTTCTTATTTCACTCGAGCTCTGTCTTGGTTTAGAATAAGAAATAGAAATAGGCCTAAGCTTATTATTTAAGATCATCGTTTTTAATAAAACTGTAGATATATTCTAAATGGCATGTGTATGTTATATTTGGTAACGTCTCTGCAAACATCACAGTGTGTTTGTGTGGGGGTGTGTGTGTGCGTCTATTTCCCCCTCGAGGGCATAGACACGACCCAATGTGTACCGTAGGCACATGCTCTATGGCATGTGCTGCTGGGGTGGGGGATTCGGGGGCATCCTCACCCAGAAAATTTTGAAATCTACAGGCTGTGAATGATGGTGTTTTTAGCATATAAAAGTTAAGGCTGACACCCTTGCATATGCTGAATATAATTATCAAGATGCTGCTGCTTGATACATTGTGTGTAAATGCAGTACATGACTATCAACTCACAGTGGGGATTCCCCTGCTTCAGCCATCATTCAGATCATTTTGGCCTGAGATAGATCCACAGGCCACAGGCTATAGGTCTAGCAGCTGTATGAGAAAAATATTTGGCCTGGAAAAGGGTGACCCCAGCCGAGGGGGGGGGGAGGGTCGTCCGACCCCCTTCCCCCTCTGGCTACGGGCCTGGACACTATGTTATCGTCTAGCAGTTAACCCAGCGTGTAAATCCGGTGGAGGTGCATGAGTACTGTTACGCAAGGTAGGGGGCGTCCTATTAGAGTACGAGTTCGGAACTCAACCAAAATTGCGTCCGAATCTAGAATATGCGTCACAGAGACCGACACCCTATACGAACGCCTTTTACTGTCTTTTGAAGGAAGCCCTCTAGAGCTTGTTAGTACTTTTTTGAGATACAGGAATAGCAGCGATTGCGTTTAAACGACATGAAACAAAACGTTGTGTGCAGAAGTAAACGATTACGAATTATCAAACCGAATCCACATGCAAATAAACATAATACAGTATAAGGCAACAGACACACGTTTCAGCTGGGTGCCTATTTTTTGCATGGTAATGAAAATAATTAAAAAAAATGTGTTGAGCTTATAGAGATATCGTCAAAACAGACAAAAACTGGCGAGTATTATAATTGGTAATGGTTGGGGATTTGTATAGGACATGGAACTATTAGCCACGCATTTAACAAAAGTCCATGCGTGATAACGATTTATCACAAATTCAGGGGAAATGCATTTAAAATTGAAGAAATTGGTTGGATTAAAACTATAAAAAGTGATGTAGTAACTTGAGTCATTAGAGAGTACAGTATTTCCTTGAAAGCCCTACTTATTTCACTAACGAGTTCCTAAAAATTGATCAGTAATGAAATATTTGTATAGGTCTACAAAGTTCGGGTGCTCAAGTTAAACATAGGCCTACATTGAAACACAAATTGGCTTTATTAATAATATTTTTGCTTATGTACCTGTATTATCAACAGACACTTTCTGAAATCGTTTTAAAACAACTTAAAAATGTCAGATCGTCGGGGGTGAGTGGGGGTGGTTCCCCTGCCGCGGGAGTTAATTTGTAAAAATCGCACACAAATCATACGACGTCACTGACAACGCCGGGGACGGCAACTCGATTTTGAGATTAATTTTCCGAATAAATACTAAATAACTTCTGATGACAAACTATTGTCTTCAGTTGTCTTTGTTGGTCATTCATCTGTCATTTTATCTACTTTTTCGGTGATATTACCATTCTCATTAATCTATAAAACACCCACATAACAACGTCACGTTAGATCGTTCGGAGGGGACGCCGTGGTGACGCCGGTAGGGTCAATTTTCTTCGGAAGATATCCAGATGATAAACAGTTTCATTGGACTAAATTCTTGCTTATGTTAACCACATGCTTACCTAAGATTATACTGACACTGGTTTCAAATGAAATAACTGACAACTTTGGTTTGTATCAATATTTTAATAAGTACTGTGCATAAAACTATGTCACAAATACGTATGCAAAAATGCTGTTTTTGTATTTTTCTTGAAATCTGTATGCGTGATCACCATCATCATACACAGTACTGTATAATAGATTCAAGTAAGATGTTTCAAATGATATAAAAATGTATGCAAACGTATTTGGAACAGGGTTTTTTTTAGTTTTATTTACCTTAACGTCGACTCCGTCTAGAAAGCAACAGGATTACTCACGCCAGGATTAATCACCACGCTGTTTTTTTATTTTTCTTGAAATCTGTATGCCTAATCACCATCGTCAATCACAGTATAATAGATTCAAGTAAGATGTTTCAAATGAAAATTCATCGTAGCCATTAATTATTATCAATACGGTCCCGGCGTCAATCCTTGAATCGGGACGGTACGTACCGTATACTACTTTACCGCTTGAGTTCACATAGGTCATATCATGTAAAGATAATTTTTTGTGCCGAATTATAATTTGTATTTTTAATGTATGACTAGAGACAGGTCATTGCACTTAACAATTATATGGCTATTCATTGTACTGTTATTTACTATCAACTATTTGCCCCGGCTTCACTAATTTTTTAATTGATTTAATATGCTGAATCATTATTAATGGTACAGTATATACCTATTATAGATTTCGATAAATTAATCAACAAATGTCTCATTAATCACACTATAGTAAATAGGCCTATTGAAGTATGCAGCATTATTAATTCTTTATTAAAGCATTATTCGAACACCTTCATTATAATTATTATTATTATTATTATTATTATTAATATTATTATTATTATTATTATTTTATATATATTATTTATCAACCATATTAACTTTGAAAACATGAAATAGCCTGTGTGGATAAAATTATCACAGAAAATAAACTTATAATTTATAAGATTATTTTTGAAACAGAATAAAATACAGTACGGTAGATAACATTTTTATTTAAAAGCAAGTTTTGCATGGACTTAATTTTATTTAATATGCTGATTAATATTATTATCTCATTAATCAAACTATCGTAAAACTATTATTATTATTATTATTAATATTATTATTATTATTATTATTATTATTATTATTATTATTATTATTATTATTATTATTATTATTATTAATATATTATTATTATTATCATATTATTATTGTTATTATTATTATTATTATTATTATTATTATTATTATTAATATT